GGGAAAGGTATTTGAGAATAAGATGATAGGCTGCAAATTATTAGGCTAAAATGAAAAGTTAAAAAGTTGGTTGCATGAGAACTTGGGCCATTGCTATCCCGAGCAAACCCTGAAAGACTTGCACTGGGGATTTTAGCCAAGAACACTTTTCACTTTTATGATTAAAGCTATGCTCTTGTCTAGAAAGATGCATTGCTATTTGTTCTGCAGGGTTTTTTTTTTTTTTCTTGAGAACTTAATTCTTCCCCACTTACTATCAGGTTTGTATTTTTAAAATGATTCAAATTCACAGCCCAAAGGAACATTACTGAGAAACCATTCCCCTCTCAAATCCAAACCTCTAAAATTAAGTAATAAAACCTATATAAAAAAGTTGGTTGCATGAATTGCAATACTCCTAAACTGACCAAAATAATACAATTGGAGAATCAAGTTTTCACAAGAGAAATAGAAACTAAAATGTGAGTATTTGGGGAAAAGTGAAAAAGACAAAAGTGGATTAAAACCTTAAAACTAGAATAAAAACAAACATACAAAAGACAAACTTTATAAAGTCTTCAAATAGGGCAATGAACCATTTTTTTCCAGAATGTTAGGCCACGGCTACTTTTAGAACCTTCTAAAGAAAGATGTTTTTCCAGTCTTTTTGAAATAAACGTTTCAAACCAAGATAAAAAACATTATCTCTAGCTAACTATGCCCCACATAGGTAGTCTAAATCTGGGGTTGGCAAACATTTTTTGTTGAGTCAGAGAGCAAATATTTTAGACTTGCAGGCTAAGAAGGAAAACGGAGCAACTGTTCTCACTCAAAAGTTGATAGTAGTTTTACATTGTAAATTGCACAATTAAAAATGTAAAGACTATTTTTCACACACATATGCTTCAAAAAGACGTGGTGGGCCACGGTTTGCTAACTGCCAATCTAGATCTCTTTGAAATGTACTATTATAGAGGTCAAGAAAATCAATAGCGTCCTGGTGCAAAACAGGAAAACCACATTGTTGCCCTGAACATGAACTGCTTCTGATCCGTTTCCAATCAGAGTACAAAAGAATGCATTCCCCAATCAGTAATTGCCTACAATTTGTCAGAAAACATGTTAATCTTCTCTCACAAAGATATCGTGCCTGGCACGGCAGCTGCAATTGAGACTACTATTGTACAATACTTGATACAATATGTAATTGTCTACTCTCATCCACCACGATCCATCCGACTTCTGCAGGGGCCAGAATGATGTATTAAATGGAAGATTATTAGGCTCAGCGAAATAAGTCAGACAGAAGTCGAGAACTGGATGATTTCACTCATATGTGGAATATAAAACTGAAGGCAACAGAGGAACAAGAGAAACAAACAAAAACTCATGGACACAGACAACAGTTCAGTCATAACCAGAGGGCAAAGAGGGGTAGAAGAGGGTAAAGGTCAAATATATGGTGATGGAAGGAGAACTGACTCTGAGTGGTGAGCACACAATGTGATATACAGATGATGTATTATAGAAATGTACACTTGAAACCTATGTAATTTTACTAACCATTGCCACCCCCAATACATTTAATTTAAAAAAAAAGGAAGTATAATTGGGGGTACGATGGGGATTGGCAGCCTTGCATCCTTTAGGTCCTTAAGGATGGCACTAATCTCATCCATGCTCCCCCTTACAATATTATTTGTGATTTATTACCTTGGTCAAGGGAAGGGGGATAGTTTCAGAGGTTTTCATCTGGCCCTCCCAATCATGATAGTCCATATCCCACACAACTTAGGGTTACTGCAGGTACTAAGTGTGTCAATCCCAATTATACATTCTGCGGCTGAGCACCACAAGCTGTACAGACCTAGTGGATACTCAGTAAGCTAATGTAGACCAAGTTTTCATCTATTAGCTGGACCTCGCATGCTCCCATTCAAACACGAGGCCATGATGACTTTGGCTTTGGTATCAACCTGGACCCTGTGTCTAATGGTTCTTGTAATGTTTGGGCATTCCTCTTACACAGTTTCTCATTTATGGTAATGATACCTTTGGGGAAGAACTGATAGCGTCATTATCAATCATTTATAAATATTATTTCAGATTCCTTTTCTCTGAAGATGAGGTTTCTTCATTCAGAAAACTCTCTCTGGAAAGAAAACTGGGAATGGGATGGTGGTACTTCACTGGGGTGCCCACCCTTGGGCTCCTGGTATTCCATCATTGATCTCTTCCTATAGTACAGACTTAGGTGTGTCCTGGTCAGCTGGCCTTCTCTTTTTCCCCTTGATGACAGTGCTCTACAAACCATCTTCATGACTCTGTGGGCCAGGCCCCCTGGCTGGCACTCTCACCCTTTCCTCCACTATAGTAACTATGTCCATGAAGCCTCAGTTAACAAAGCGAAGACTCCTGGCTCTATAGGTCTTGAGTTCTACGATTTCCATTCCTTTCAGTGAGCCTACTTATGTCAGGGCCTCTGCTACCATCAGACCTGGATGACAAAGAAAAGCCAACACGGAACACTACCAATCGTTTCTTGACAAACACAAGGAACCTCTGCCAATTAATCAGTGTAGGTCTATACTACTAGCTAGCTCTCCTCCACAGTCAGGTGTATGGCCTCAAATCCTGCCCATTGGAGGTCCCTCCCTTCAGAACCCCATTCTGAATGGATCGGAACTGCAGCAGTATTTCTCTTCATCTGATGCTAATATGTCACACATACCCACTGTAAACCAGGTGTGACCTATTCTTCTATAGGTGTCATGGGAAACATCTTATGACAACATAGTGTGAAGTATGTTTATAAATACAGCAGTAATGAGTATTGTGGGAGACTGAGACACTCTCATGTTCTTTCTTTCTTTTCTTTTTCACTTAAAGGAGAATATCATTATGTTCTTTATCATTGTTGGTAACTCAATACAAGAATCCCAGCATGAGTATCTATTCTCTGGGTCTACTCTTGATAGCAAGAACTTGATAGGAAATCTAACAGGAAAACAGAAACCACTTGAGGATTAAAACAGACTCACTTTATCTAAGGAATCGGTTGAGTATATTATGGAAACACTGAGAAACCAAGCAGGAGACATATCAGCATATCCATCAATGAATCCAATTATCTGAACTATCATTGAATTTAAATGTCTCCTCCATTTTGCAGGAATATTATGCAGCCCTATTTTTTAGATCAATTTTTAAGTGGACTTCATGATATTTCAAGGTTTCATAGATTGTATAACTTGTCTCATAAAGCAATAACTTTAAAAAAGCCTGATTTCTAAGGAATTCCATAGGAAAATAGATTTAGTTTTAAGTTTTCTTCTTTATAGATATCTAATCCTAATTATCAGTATATATTTAGCTTTGAATGAACTTCCAAACTTACAGAATTTGACTTTTCCTAACCAAATCATTCTGAGAAAACTGGTATCAGTTGACTAACGGAAAGAAAAAAATATAAACTATTCATCTCAAACTGCTATTGTATATGTCTCAGTTGTTTGCATACTACTTTAAATTGAGTTTAGTATCCCATTTGCGAAATTGGCTATTTGGACCTTTTTACATTCAAACCTGTTGTAACCTATTATTAATGCGTTTACAGCACACTAGCTAGCAATGGCTCCTTGATAAATTGTAATCAGCTTTAGCTAATTTTCTTTTGTAAGAGCTGTGACTTCTACAGACCTACGGATATTCATCATTAGCACAATGGTCCATGTCACAAGCGTCTCCATTTATCACAGCCTCACTTTCATTAATGGCATTAGTAAACACTTTAATTGATTGCTCTTTCTTACTGGTTACCTGCGAATGTTATAAATACAACATATTTGTTCCAAACGTAAATTGATTGTAAAGCATATGTGTTACATTTTAAAACAACCCTTTCCGATCCAGAGTGTGAATAAACCCATGCTGAGAATGATTTTTTTTTTCATAAAAAGTGGCTTCTCATCATAGGTCATCCAAGTATGTTAAACCATTTCAACACATACGTCTCAGAAGCCTGTAGCCAGGCAGGCTTCTGCTAAGAGTATTAGAATCGGGAGCTGTATTTCATTTCACCACCGGAGAGAACAGGAGTCGGGGGAAGAGGGTATTGTTCATGATGAAACGCAAATTAGGAGCCCACATCTAGGTACACCTCAGAACTATCATTTTATTCCTACCACAGTGCTTGTTATTATGCGGTGTCCAGTTAAGCAATCGTTGGTGAAAATACCATGCTATCAGAGCCAGATAACGGATATGGCTGATATCCAACAGGTAGCATAGTTACAGAGAGAGCCTTTAAAATGAATATGTTCACATGCATTCACTTTTGTAGACATCTTTATTTTACCTGTCTCCCATCTACAATATTTATGGAAATTCAGTTCACGGTTCACTACACCTTGAAATTGCTTAAATGCCACAACTGGCTTGACAGAATCCAAGACAGGCAAAGCAGAAATGGAAAAGAAAAGTGTGTGATACATAAAGCAATATGCTGACTGACTAGAAAATTCTCTACAGCCTCCCATTCAGATCACATTGGTAAAAGCAGGGCTTATATTAGGACATTTTTTTTCTTCGTCTATTCTTAAAATTGATCCCAAAGTAACTGCTATTAAATTCAAATGACAAAAATAATAAACAATAAACCTTTTCCATTGTTTTCCATTCATGTAGAAGTGTACTACACTGGACAGTCCACATAGATAGCTAATTGCACAGCCTGTGGAAGCCGACTGAGTTAAAACTACTAACAGCATGTCCTGAATAACATCGTTTCATGCAATGCCATTTTAGTATAATGTTGATGAGATACCATAGGAATTTAACTCATTTATATCAATGAGCCTATGGTAAAATTGGTTTTGTTACACATTGTTTTGCTTCAAGTTCTATAACTATAGACAACATTGAGTGAGGACTTACTGTACTTCTATGAGTTTGAGCAAGTTACTTATATCTACTACTGACTTTACTTTTCTCAATGCAAAATGGGAACAGAGTATACTCACCTTGCAGGTTTGTCACAGGATCACAGGAGCTCATATACGTGAGGCCCTTAAGAAATGCCTGGAGAGTAAGAAGAACACTGAGTGTTACACACAGTATGACTTTCTCCTCCATGACTCTCTGGGGAAACTACATGATTGAGGTTTGCTTGTGTTCATCAGAAGAAAGGACTATCTGATGGTGAATCCGTCTGCATACATGAGCACTTGATATGCTGTGAAATATTCATTCGAGCCTTTACTTTAGTGAGTTCTGATGTCATTTGTTTTATTTTGTTGTATTTATCAATTATTTGGTATATGATGACATATATGCTCTGGAGAAAGAAATATTACATATACCAGGTTTTTATATGGTGACATTTCAGGGTCTGCCAGTGAATGACTTATTACATAATGTGTCTTCTCTGATTCATGAAACCAAGCTTTATTTTAAAGGACAAATAAGATGTAGGGAAAACGTAGGTCTTATAACCTGTCGATGAAATCCACAGGCCTAACTTTATCCAATAATTATTGAACCACATTAGTTTGTTTGTTTTGCGGGGATGTAGGGTACAGACATAGTAATACAGTGATATAAACATAGAAAAAAGTTTTTTTTTTCATGAATATGCTCAACAACTTAAAATTCAGCAACTCTTCCCTTGCTCATGTTTGCCCCATCTCCAACCTCACTCATTTAGTTTTAATCCCTGCTGAGTCAGAGCTTTATTTAACAGGGTATGTCTTTACGTGTAATTCTTTATGTGTAATTTAAATGTCTTTATTTGTAATTCTTTTCTCTCCATAGTGGCTCATAAAGCATGTAACCCTGTGATAGCACAAATAATACACCCCTCCCGCCCCCCTGCACAAAAAAAAAAAAAAAAGTCCATGTGTTAAGCCCCAGAACCTGTGAATATGTTACCTATATCAAAGGGACTTCTGCCAATGTGGTTACATTAAGGACCTTGAGATGGGAAGATTATCCTGGATTATCTGCATGGGTCCAGTGTCATCACAAAGGTCCTTATAAGAGGGAGGCGAAAGAATCAGAGTCAGAGAGAGATGGTATAAGGGTGGAGGCAAAAGTCAGAGAGGGGAGAAGGGACTGAGGTGCTGGCTTTGAAGATGGAGGGAGCGGCCACAGGTCGAGGAATGTAGGCATCCTCTAGTCTAGAAGCTGGAGAGAGAAGGTTTTCCCCTAGAGCCTGCAGGAGGAATACAGCCCTGAAAATCAGACTTCCGGACTCCAGAAGCGTAAGCTAATAACTTTGCACTGATTCAAGCCACAAGTTTGTGGTGATGTGTTACAGAAGCAACAGGAAAGTAATATAGACACACGTGAGCACGGAACACAGCCTTGCTGGTTGATTCCTTTCTCACCTCCCTTTTCCCTTTTCCTAATTGTAATTACCTGCATACTTCCCATACATTGAACATCAGCCAACTTCCCTATCTCCCCAATCACTGACATCTCAAACAATCACATTTGTCAGTGATTAGGAAGCTCCTCCAACTTTATGGTTTCCTTTATTTACTTACAAATGGTAGATCTGAGAAATGCCAAAACAAAGTTAAAGATTACTAAGATAAAGACTAAAAAAAAATTGTCTAAATATATAAAATAGCAAGGAGAGTGTGTGTGTGTGTGTGTGTGTGTGTGTGTGTGTGTTCCATAGTTTTGACTGAAATTTGTCAGGGGACAAATTTCCATGTACCAACATTTCCTTAAAAGGCTTAATCACTAGTCATATTTACAATTGTTGATTAATGCATTATGAAATTTGATTATTACAATAAAATTCTGAAACTGGAAGAACATTATATTTATTGTAGTAAATAATATGTGCAATAATTGTACTACTAATAATAGTATTTAAAAATAAATACTGATTACATACTTTATCTGGTTTGCACATATTAGCTCATTTAATTCTCACCATATTCTGAGATAATACAAGTATTATCAGTGACTTTTACAAAAGAAAAAAATTGAAACACAGTAACTTGTCTAAGTCAAATTCATTTAAATTTCGAATGTCCTCGCTACACAGACAAAAATTTAACTATCACAAGTATGTTAAAAGGCTGCTGACATTATTTCTGAAAGACTATTAATACATCTAACCCTTAACCAACTAAAAACTTTGAATTTAAAATTCTCACTTTTTAATGTAATGGGTTCAGTAGTATTTAACTTGTCTATGTAGTAATTGTCTATTTTAACTCTTTCATTCCTAATGACAAAGTTTGTTTTCAATTTAACTAAATATATGATGTTCTTTTTTATTTTTTTCATTATTAGTTTCAGGTATACAAAATAACACAGTGATTAGACATTTATACCCCTCACAAAGCGATAACCACAACAAGTCTACTATCCATCTGACACCACACAGTTATTCCAATACCATTGACTCTATTCCCTATACTGTATTCTACATCCTGTGACTATATATACTATATATACAGAGGGTGCCAAAAAATGTATACACATTTTAAGAAATGAAACTCTATTAAAATTGTAATAATATATACTGATAAGAAAAGATGCATTCAAGTCATGTTTCACTTCTGCAATTATAAGAGGTGCTCAAAGTGGTTACCATCAATGTCTAGACACTTCTGATTACAGCAAACTACTGCTTGAGCAACACTGACCAAAGTGTCTACTTATACACACACACACACACACACACACATACACACACACGCAGTGGGGCTGCCAAAAACTGTACACACATGACTTGTGTTCATCTTGTTATTGGTATATATTGAGTATTACAATTTTAATACAGTTTTTTCCTTTCTTAAAATGCTTCTTTGTTTCCTCATTCTGGCTGCCACTCTGTGTTTGCTTCATGGGTAGATCTCCTATGTCTCTCGGTCTTTGCTGTCTGGCCTTATGTGGTATGTGTCCTGTGTGGTCCAATGGCGCAGTCTCCCTGATCTGTGCGTGTGTTCCAGGAGTGTCCCTTAAGTGTGATGTGTGTGTGTTCCTGTTGTAGTTGAGCCTTGATTGCTTTTGGTGCATCAGTGGGTGGGACTGACTCCCAGGCTGACTGACTGTGAGGACTGGCCACACCCACAGTGTATGAGCTGCTGTGTGGGGCCTGACCTCTCAGAGGAGGACTCACCCCAGCAGGCTCTTGTACCTGTTGAGACCATCCTTTGGGTATGCCTCTTGTGGGACTAATCAGGCAGTGCTCTGGTGTGGTCTGAGGCTGGCCTCTGGGTGTGTTGTTTCTGTTGTCTCTCAGGAGAGGCTCCCATGAAGACCAATTTGAGCCTTGCCTTTTATCAGCCATGGCTACCTTGTAGGAGCTACAAAGCTATATGGGGTTGGCTGCTGCCTGTGCTGGCCCTGGAGGGGTGTGGGGATGACCTCACTGCTGCCACCAGTGTGGGGCCTGGGGCAGCTTAGAAAAGGCTCAGGGTCCTCTAGGCCCATTGCCACCTGCAGGCCATCCACAAGGCCCAACCACTGAAAGAACCTCCTTAGGTGCATGGGCCAGGCTGACTGACCCAGTTTTGAGAGGGTCCTCGGTGATGCAGCCCTAGCTGGGAGGGGTCCCAGGGAGTCACAAGGCATGGCCAATGGTTTTTACACAGCTAGTGAAGATTCTGTTCTTGTGCCAGGGCTCAGCCTATGACCACTAGATCATGTTCTTTATTGCCAATAAATGATATATAACAGAATATGGTGAGCCGCCTGAGTGGCGCATTGGTTAGGAGTTGGCTTGGGATGTCAGCTCTGAGCAGCAAAGCTCCGGTTCAGATCCCACATGAGGGCCAGTGATGCTGTGCCCTCTACAGCTAAGATGCTGAACAACAGCTCCTCCTGGAGCTGGGCTGCCGTGAGTTGCCGGTGATGGTGTAGGCTGCAGCCCCTGCTGTAGTGGGCTCCCGTAAGCTACTGTGAGTGGCCGGCAGCCAGCGTGAGCTGCCAAGAGCTGCCGTGAGCAGCCGTCCAGTGGCCAGCGACTGATCTGCCTCAGCCAGGAAGAGCGCAATGATAATACCAACATGGGCCAGTGAAGCAATGTCCTCCACAACTAGACTGAAGAACAAAAAGACAGCAACTTGTCTGTTCCCCTTCCCCGATTCCCCAACGCTGTTCCCCTCCCCCAATTCCCCAANGACAGCAACTTGTCTGTTCCCCTTCCCCGATTCCCCAACGCTGTTCCCCTCCCCCAATTCCCCAATAAAATCTTAAAAAAAAAACACCAGAATGTGGTAAAGATGGAATTGATATAGCTTAGGAGACAGAGGAAGCAAACAAATTATTCAAACATGCTTCTAAGTAAAAGTAAACAAACCAATCACTAAATATTTTATTATAAGACAAGACTTATCTAACTCACAGTAGCTTGCTATTATTTTATGATTGATTGATTGATGGTATAATTTATGATTGGAGCCATCTACATTATGATTGAAGAGAAACACATAAGATTCCAGGAAGTATGGGGATCTGCTCTCATGCATCGCCTCCAGCAAGCACCTGCTCCCACTGTGCCTGTTCATCCACTTTACCTCCAGCGGCTGCCAAGCAAGTGCATTTCCACAGGGAATTTGTCATCTGTTTTGGTTAATGCTCTGCCTGCTGCTTCACTGGGTTGGCAACCATGTTAGACGCTGATTCCCAGTTTTTTGTTTTGTTTTTTGTTTTTTATGACAACAGGAATAAAAGTTGTAAACTGCCAGTTCTCATCCATCATTGTATTAACATAAACCACTCCAGCCATGTCTTATCTGTTCTCTTATCTGTTCTCCAGTCTTCAGGGGGAAAAAAAAAAAAAGCAGCCCAAGATCTCTTGGATATTTAATGTTTCAAAAGCCCCAGGGGAAGACTACGGAGATGTTTGATTTTCTTTAAATGCCATATGGCAACTTGGTTGTTTTGATTACTTTATGATGTTAGTATTTATTATTTGTACTGACTTTTAGTCACTGGTGATAGAAATAGATAAAATGAGAAGGGAAAAGTGCAGCTAAAAAAAAAGCTAATTTGCACAATTGTGAAGACCCTGAGGTCACGATCTAGATTTACATGTGACAGCTTAAGGAAACTAT